TAAGTCCTAAATTCCTATCACTCCATATGGGGACAAATCATAAGATTATTTTTCTATATGACTTTTCCCGAGAAAGGCTAGCTTGTCAATACACGAGTTTTTTTAATGAATGAGTTCAATTTAATCAATAGGATGTAGTATTTTTCATTTATATCTAGTTTTAATTGCAATTCTCTTGAAAAAGTGCGAGCGTGTCGACTTGATAAATGGAGCTTGGTTCGCTGTTAGATAAATGAACACTTTTTTTATCGTTAGGAAGACGATCGACGATTTATGGCGTTTATCGAGGTGCAAAAACACCGGCTACCGGATCGTGTTGAATTTACATCTATCTGTTCTGTTGTAAACCAGTGAGGTTTTTTTCCGAGGTCTGAGACGTGATGAACCCCGGATCCGTCTATTCTCGCTGTTCGGGTCGACGCGTTTCGCCCATTCCGACCGATGCACCCAGTCCACACTTCGCTTTGCAAAACTGTAAAAGGAAAACGACATTTCGAAGAAGGAAAACGACGTTAAAATGACGAAAAGATTGGCCAAACCATGAAAACCAGACGGACCAGGATTTTCGTACACGACCAATAAATTATTCCATAACCTTTCAACTCTTTTATCAGTTCGCCTGTCAAATTTAGCTGATGGCTTTGATCCACTTGGCCCTTTTTTTGCCTCCGATCTTGGGAAATCAATATAAAATTAATGTCATGTGTGTTTTACACCAGATTGTTTTTAGGTTTTTATATATCTCGCAGTTGCTACGCTTTTACAACGTTTCCACTACACCGTGCCATAAAAGGAAGATAAACGACCTGACACATAAATCATTTAAACAGACCTTGTGTACGAATCAATCTAGCTGCTGCGTTCCGCCGATAACTTTACCCACTTTTACTGAACAGGTTGGCACTCACTTATAAATGACACAAATATTATTGGCCCCTTTGATTTATTTGTAAAAACTTGGTATTTTGGAATTTTTTTAACAGTTGTAAGAAGTAAAACCTGGAATAGTCCTATTATTTCATTAAAAAAAAGTTGGATTTATCAGATTATATATTTTTACAATTCCCATCTATTAGTCGACACAAATGTGTCAATAATTTTGTGATGGAACACCAAATACATGATTAAAATATAGTCCAGTTGGCTTAAGACCAGCAAAAGCAATTACGGAGTTGAAAAATTTTATTCAAGAAAGTACAACCGCGGCACCGTGATGTACATAAGTTTTAAGCGTAATAAATAGGTGCTTTCAATGCGAGATGGAGGTCGGGAAGTTTAAATGCCCACGTAGACTGTTCAACTTTCTGCGAATTACTTCGAGGACAGATGAGCATATTTGAAACCAGTTGGCTGGTAAAAGGAAGAGAAAGTGGGGTGCTCATGATAATTCTGCGCCAATATGACTCCATGTTCGTTGAGTTTCCTCCAAATAGTACAAAATTTTCTGATGATTTTGTCACTTTGACCGGTTATATGCTTGATTTAGAATCAACGAAAAATGGCTGAATAGTTCAATACAATACGTTAAGTGACGTACTTTTAACTAAAAAAAAAAAAAAAAAACAACTAAAATTATGCACATTATTTGAAAGAAGACAAGAAGCGCTCCAAAAATGTTCATGAATCACGTAAAGAAATAACAAGCGGACGACGTTTGTCAAAGTTTTAAATGGAGAAAGAGTATAGTTTGTTCTAAGGATCCACAGTCGATATTTAAACTGTCTTGTTTTGCTAAGGTACACTGCGGCAAGCAGGGGTTAAAGTCAATGAAGCACTTCACACTATTTACAAAGGAGAGTTTATACAATTTATTAGCTACGCCCTTCAAAAGTGAACATGGCTTTATCGGTCCCTATAAGGATAACTAAAGTCTTCAAAAATATCTTACAAAGTATTTTGCGTGATTGCAAACATTAATTGAAACGTTGACAAAAAGACAAACAAGAAATGTTATCTGAATCAGAATTTCTTAAAGAACATTCTTCATAATGTTCTAAAATCTAAGAGGTTAACATTTCTAACTTAAGGAAAGGCAAATAAGGATAAGGTAGATTTTTTCTAAGGGCTCTGTTTGGATTATGATAGACCTAAGCTACCAATATTAATCTATTATGGACTTCCATCATTATCTAGTAAAGCTTAACAGAGTTCATGTTCCGCTGTTTCTTCTCCATCCTGGAAATACCTGCACAGGCTTGTTTCTGCTGCTACGAGTTAGTAAACATGTTTCCGGAGTCTGTAGTGTTCAGACATCCTACTTTCATTTTAGTCCTAGGTTTAAGCCCCGATACCAAGGGGGCCAAGGTGGCTGAATAGTTACGGCAACCGACTCGCATTTACTAAGTAGTAGTAGTAGTTGGAAGGAAGCTCAACCGGTGCATATCCTCGCCGGTTTCTGTCAGGCACATTACCATATTATGTGGTAAACGGGATGACCAATTATAGCCAAACTAGGTTCTTCACCGCGCTGACTGCGATCTCAGAAAAATATTTCACAATTTATGGCTTGGAATCGTAAAAACCAGCTAGGTCACTGGCTAACTGTGTTGGGGAGACTCTGATAATGGAGGTTTCGTAATTTAATAGAAGTTATCCTAGCTAAATATAAGCTGCGTACAAAAAGATCATAGCTAGTGGACAAACCACGTGGTATAAATCTATAAAGAGAAATCACACAAAAAATCCTTCCCAGATATTTTTCGTTCTTTGGTCTGGGATTTTCGCCTGATGAAGCACAAAGCGGTTAAAGAAGCATAAATCCCACTTACAGGTGAAGGAAATCTTTGGGATGACTTTTTGGAAATATAATTATGTATGCTGGAGGGATGTAACTAACCTGTCAAAAATTTGAACTATTTCGAAACTGAAGTTTATCTTTTTTATTTTCATTTGTTGATACTTATATAGATCAGATAATTTTCACTGCATTTATGAAGCTATGACCTTCCGTTTTCAGGACTTTTTTTGATATCCAATCAGTAATGTCTTTCCTTCCTTATATCTGCTACTATATCTGGTAACTTCGTTATTTACGCACTTATTTTTATTTGTCCAATTTCCACAATTTATATTGGGCCTCTTTCTTTTACAATTTTCATTATCGCACGGCAATTATTCATTTTTATTAAGACCCAAGGATCCACTTGTGCATGCCACACGTCTGTTCCGGCCTTTATTCTGTTTTTATTTCCATTCCGTTACGGCGAATTTATAAACACGTCAGTGAAAAACATAAATATATTTATGTTATTACTTGAAGCTAGAGAATATGTTTGGAGGAGCAGGTGGAACAATATCATACCTTATAGACCCAGTGTAATAAATGAGGTCTCTGAGCCACCTCAGCTATACCATCCCACCTTTGTTAATGAATTTGCATAGGTTAGCAATTGTGTGAATCGATTGTACCTCTATAGACAGCATACTACCTTCATGGCTTTTCTCTATTTATTTAGTATGTTTTTTAAAATTCAGTGATTCTGCAGTCTTTTCTGTAGATGATTAGGGGTATCGTACATAGTACGAAAAACCTGAAATAACACATTTCTATAATTTTTTTTTGCTTTTTAAATAGCCGAAAAACGAATTAAAGACTGCAATAACGAACCGGAACGCACGCCTGAAAAAAACCGAGAGTTAATCCATCAAAGATACGTCCCTTTCACCCCTTTCACTATTTATAAGCGTATAAAAGAGACTCGACTGACTACATAAACGGACGACTGAATATGGCGAAATGCCCAAACGCGCCTGAGAGAAAAAAAAAACCTCCAGCCAGGGTCGAAGACGATTAAGCTACAGGTTCACTTTGCAACCGTTGATGGATTTCAACGACAAATAAAGTTAATATTTTATTACCGTTTTAATCGTAAACACTAAGCACCCTGAACGGAGTGTAAACCTAATTAAAATCGCTATCCAGCAATATTTTATTTTATAACTACTTTGGCCCCTTATCTGTTAATTAATACTTAAACTAGATTCATAACTTTTTATTTAGACGAAAATAATTGCCGGTTATCTTTAAACTATTTAACATATAATCAGTGGTTTCAGATTTCAGTTCTATTTGATCGGGTTGTATTTGTTGAAAAGTGTTTGTAGTTGGACAGTCAGGATTAAGCTGAATAAAAAACGTATTGCAATTATTGCAAGGTAATTTTTGCAAAGCTTATTGTCATAAAATAATAATAAAATAATTATAATAAAATATCATATTGTTTGAATTGTATTTTTAATTTGGTCTTTTCTGTTCATCTGGTCAGGCGTATCGATTACGATTATGTTTCGCACTCCGGCGAATATCTCCATATCCCGTGTTGAGCTTGTTATCGTATCTCACCATGCTTATATCCCTGACAAACAATTAAATAAGCCGGGACGTGTCCGACAGATTAAACCAGCGTGATAGGCAGACCCTGAAATCTGATACATCATTACCTCACACGTCTCATGAAGAAAGCTCATAAAATTGTATTGCTATGTTTTAATCTTTTCATGTAAGGAATTGGTTGAAATGAAAAAGTTAATGTCACGAGCAGGATTCGAACTCACGACCTTCCACTCAATACAATACGCCGTTGCTCTGACTACATGAGCTATTACACGACATTTGAAAAATGGCAAAAAGGAGGAAAAATTCGAAAGGTTGTAGGTTGAGATGAGGAGTTGGAGTCCGAGTAGATCGAAGTCGCGATAGCTCAAGTGGTAGAGCAGCGGCGTATTAAGCGGAAGTCTTGGGTTCGAATCCCGCTTGTGATACTAACTTTTTAATTTCAACCAATACTTTTCATAAAAAGATTAATTATTTGAAGAAATTATTTTAAAAGAAATTATTTGATCAATCAGTCCACGAAATATAATGGATGTATTTAAAATGTTTAAAGTGCTATACTGTTAAGTTATAGTCGACATAAAAAAATGTGAAACATGACAACTTTACGGAAACATAAATATATGTTTGAGCATAAAAATAATATATATTTTGTTTATCTATTTACCCATCGATGAGTGGGACGTCTTGTAAAAGTCTTGAAGCAATTTCAAGCCTTTCTTCAAACGTCGCACCCGCCTGAATTTTCAATGCTAATGGAAGGCCAACTCCAGCAACAGCGGCCAAAATCACTGCCATTAAAACGATCCACCGCTGTTTCACCTTTATTCTGAAACCTGGAATGCAACTAGCGCCTGAAACAGAGAAAAAAAACTTGAAACTTTCAAGTGAGTAAAGAAGTAGAAAATATAATAGGATGGGAATTCATGATGAAACAAGGAAAAACTGAATTTAATCAAAAAGTTAATTATTTTTTTACTAAGCTATAAAAACAAAAAGAACATAACATATCTTTTTTTTAAATATATTATAAAGGCATACAACCACGATGGGTCAAAACTGCCTTGACGATGAATTAATCGTAGGGAGAAGAAGACAGAGAGCGATAGGCCAGGAGGGCAGGGACANGGCACGATAAAGAAAATGTTTTTCTGAAACCTACATCACACCCGACCTCATCTCACGATATCTGAATAACTATCGATTAACGGTCACTAATCTCTACACATTATTAGTAATATTATATAAGCGCAATGGTACGTAAAAAACTATACATGTTGACTTGGATATATTTGAAATAATTGAAGTGATTTCATCTACCGATAATAGACTATTCTGGAGTGGCAAACTATTAAAATATGTTGCTTTGGAAAAGTTGGTCAAAATACCAAAAAAATAATTGAATTATTTTGAAGAACCCTATTTTTCGACAACCGTTTAGTTCAAATTTAATGAACTTTACTGCGTTACACTCAGAATTAATCCAGAGAATACGTCATCATGAAAGTTTAATCAACTCATAAGCTATTAAAGTTTTCGTAATGGGATATTTTATTGTTTCTCAAATTACACCCAGTGCTTTTATGTAATAAATTAGATTAATATCCCCGTATTGTTATTAGCTTGATTGTGTTTACTGGCGACATAGATTGTTGCGTACAATCCATGTATATTTTACTATAATCCCAGCTTGGCTAAATCGTTGCAAGTTTGCAAGGGGATAATTGAGTCTTAGCCCTTCGGGTCCTTGGTCCCGGTTTCAAACAAATTTCCGGTCAATAGTTTCCATTATAACTTCTTACGATTTCATCAAAGTTCTCCAGTTGTTTAATAAGCTAAACGTATCCAAGGCAAAAGAACTCGGGTTCGAACCGCTCAAAACTCGTCGGGAGCCAATATCAATGGAATGGGGAAGGGTTTTGTCAATTCAAGTCAACTGGAAATGACCAAAAGCGAGAGGGAAAATAATGATAACACGGGAGTTATCTGCTTTAATAAACCACGCTTTAAGCAAATTGTATTCTCACCGGAAGTCGTCGATGTGGAAGTTGTAGCAGATACGGGTGGTTTAGGGTAGAAGGTGACCTCTTGTTTGTTCTGAGTAACATCCGGAGGATACTTATTTGCTTCTTCCTGCAACAGTAGTACAAATTCATTAGGCAGAATGTCACGCTCTCAATTAAATATTAGTGTTATTTATCCTAATTTTAACAATGTACTGTATTATTTTATTGTCGTATTGCAATATTACAGAATTATTTGATGTCATGATGTCTTGGATATTTTGTTTGTTCTATACAGTTACTCTAGGTGGGAAAAACCTGTTTAGCTACATTTTAATAGTGCAATAACATGGGTAAAAATAATGGCCATAACTTTTTCCCAACAATCAGGGTGCTTTCACAGTTTCAGCGAGTATTTTCATTCTATCATTGCTCTGTTCTTGTTCCGATTTTTTGACAGTATCCTTTAATTTGGTCGTTTCCGCCAATTTTCTATATGCTAGTTTTAGTTCGGTGTTTAGTTCTGTCAGACGCGTTACGGCTTCTCGTCTATAAAACCAGCAATAAAACCAGATCCGCAGAAAGTAGATTAACATTTTTTCATGCAAAATTTCATCGCTAAATTGAAAAAAATGCAACACAACATTTAATGAAAAGAGTGGAAACCATTGGATGCTAAGAAATTGTTAGACAATGAATGTGAAAGAGTCGGTCCTTCCTAGAAGAAGGAAAAGAGGCCTTTTGACTTAAGAAAGTATTTCCAGAAGAAAGAAAGTCGACAAAGTATGGCATAAATTGACTTGACGGCAGCCCTATTTTCCTCTTCACCAACCGGATTATGTAAATGTACATAATCTTAGGGTTAGAGTGTGATATGACAGAGGTTAAAGGTTATGTTTTGGGGATTTAGAGGTATTGAATTTAATTAGCTACATTGTAAACCAACTCTTAGGAAGGGGTTCTGAAGGTCTTGGCGGTGATGGCAAGATCTGGCCTGGATTATACGGCGGTGCCTTTAGTGTATGTGTAAGGTGGTATTAGTAATATCAGAAATGTGTATTGTGTTTAGAAACCGACTAAAACCAAGGAAGGGACAGGAGCTGGAGACCTAACAATAAATCCAAAAACGTAACTGAGCATAACCTAGGCAGTTACGCTAAGGTTTTTCAGTCAGATATTATAGCAATTGAACATGTGACAGATAAATTAAAAGATTTGTAACCTACTCTAAGAAGATAAACATACTCTCTGACAGTCGGGCAACTCAAAACTTAGTCAAAATATAACTGGAGTACCAACCGGCGGGAGACAGTTACTGTAATATCCTGACCCTCGCTGGGTCCTTATATAATGACCACATACTTTCGGCTCTAAACACAGTCAGCCAACGTTTTTGTCACAAATTGGACACATCTAAGGACGTCTATGGATGAATAACAGAAAGTCAAACGAAATAAAACTAATAAAACTTGCTAAGTCATGAGACTGAAAACTGTCGCTTTAGAAGGCTGTACTAATGTTACCAAAAAAAAAAAAAAAAAAACGAAGAGACTGTGGAACACATTCTGTGTTATCGTAAGGGTTTATACAGGCGTAGATTTCTACTGCTCAGGCAGGAAAAACCGCATTTCCAAAGAACCACTAGCCAGGCTGTGGAATTTAATCAAAAGCCTAAAACGGACTACTGAGTACTACCAAAAATAGAGGGGCACAATAGATCTCTGACGAGGTGCAAGAGGTTTTCTGGTTACCTCTTCTCTCCCTTCATCTACGGTATATAAAAACGCACCTATTGTGTAATTTAGTTAAATAAACAAGCAGGGTACTAACGTAAGGCTATAGGTAATGCTAATATTTGGGGATCGGTCAGGGTTCTTGTAGTGACAACGGATCATTTCTCTTCATTATCGTGTTACAGTAGGCAAGAACGTATAGCTCCATCACGCATCTACTAGTTATATCAAGGATAAGATTACATTATCCCTGTTCAGCACTGCATGCCATTAGCTAAGGACTGTTGGACATCATCGCACTCTGCTACTGTCGACTTCATCACGTTTGAACTGAGGATACGTTTTACAATGGAATACTGTTGAATTTTGATACTCCTCGATCATCAATATATACGTGAAATTCTGAAACATACCCCAGAGGACCAATCAGAAAGGATAGGCCGATCAGGAAAACAGGGATCCAAATTAAGTTTCATGACCTCAAGGAGAAGGTCATTGATATAATTGCAACTCTTCATCCAATTCTTAAGAATGATGCATCATACATTAATTACCTTTTTGATAACCATATACCTCACTTTAAACGTTTTATACTTCGAAGACGTGACACTTAGTATTACGACCAAGCACTTAGTTTTTATGGTGATAATTACTTTCTTTTAAATATAACTTATTTGTTGTTTTAATTAGTTATCAAAGAAATAGCAGCTAATAGTGATTAAACAATGACAACTGCTTATTGGCCACTATGTTTGTCCATTAATTCTTACGTTGTTGTCTTATTGAGTTTCCATCAATGATGGTTTAGCAAAAAACCGATGAAAAACAACAGGGTATTCATATACAAGCTATAGTAATTAAACTTTAAGCTTTGTCCCTGACTTGATTAGGGCGGAAAAGCTAAAACCACCTCTGCCGTGAAACAAAAAATTGCAATACCGCTATTCATGTGTTGGGCAATATGAAAGTTAAAGTAAAGGTTATTTTGAACTTGAAAAAATAATCTGTTAAGCTTTATTTTGTCTTATAGAGAAAACTTTTGAATTTTGAGCGGATTCTGTGTTTAATCCTTCTAGAAAATTGTACAAGTAAAATAAAGAGAATACATATGCGCAAAAACAACTCTGTTAATCATCGTAGTTATGTTTCTTAGCGGAGTATTATTTGAAGAAGGTGAAAACATTTTATGTAACGAACTCTACATTAACCTCAATACGTTATCATTCGACCACCGATACCCAATATCCTTCCATCGTCACATAAACGTAGACAAAGATAATTAATTTAGTATCAATGAGGTACTTTGATAATATTATGCCATAGTCTCGACAATATTCATGTGTATTTAGTTAATTGGGTACTTAGTGTACCGCCATCACTTTCCCACGGGTTCGTTGCTACTGTAGTATAGAGAGTATTTTTATCCTCGCATGACAATTAAAAGGAAGCATTGACCGTATAAAGTATAAAACCTCTTTAATCCTCCAGGAAGCTTAACGGTACCAAGTAACCGGCTGTTGTCCCCAGGAAATGGTGTTTTATGTGCTTCTAAATAAAGTAGGCTTTATTTTAAATACGGTGTATCTTTTAGGGACACCACTAAGGGCAAAACCCTTCTAAAAATACCCTGTTAAAAGAACTATGTGATTTCATGCGTAAGAATTTCTATTTTAGGCGTATCACTCTAAAAAAATAAAAATCCTAATTTACAAAAAATATTGTCAATTATTCTAGGCAAATGTTACTGTTAGTGTTACAGTTTTATCGAAATAGTAATGCCTGAAGTATCAAGAAGCTGTATGTCGGTAGAGTCGAGGTCCAATACTCCCAATAGGATGGAAAGACTGTCAGTTGGAATGAAAGATCATCAAACACAAAAATTATTAACTAAATTATTAGTAATAATTCCGCTCGTGCCATTGACTTTTTTATCTCAACTAAAAACCTTAATTAATTGTAATATATTAATTGGTCAAGCGGACCACGAAATTAGTGAATTTACTGAATATATGGTTTGTTTTACATATTTTTACCAATTAATATTCCATGAGNAGTTGATGTCCGAGTGGATCGAGGTCACGATAGCTCAAGTGGTAGAGCAGCGGCGTATCTAGCCGAAGATCGTGGGTTCGAATCCCGCTCGTGCCATTAACTTTTTTTCATCTCAACTAAAAAACCTTACTTAATTGTTATAATTATTGTTAAATTATTTTATACGGGTAAATCAAACTTATAAAAAATGTCTAAAACTACAACCGGGAAGAAATGATTTAAAAAAATTTTTTATTACATAAAAAATTGGTGGGGGGAGGAATTAACTCACTGTGTATACTAAACCTGCAACACTTGCGTGTGTTGCGGAAGTGTTGACCCTTAGCGCCCTGTGGGGGAGAAATAGTGGAAAGTGGAATAATAAATGTTATAATTATCCTTAAATTTCATGCTGGTAAATCAAACATATAAAAAATATCTAAAACTACAACCGGAAAAATGAAAAACATGAATAGACTTACATTTTAAAATAGTTGTTTGGGTATCAATTATAATATATAAGGGAAACGGTAAATTCGGATCGTTTTGTCGGCTTTCTAGTCACGTAGCTATAAAAATAAACGTAATTGCCGACATTACCGCAACAATGGCTCATCACAACTCGTAATCCGAACTTTTCATAGTATAAAAGATACAATCCCTGTGGTATTCTGTAGCTCTCATGCTTTGCAATCTACGCTATAATAAAAAATATCCATTAGCACATGAAATTTGGCAGTTAATTAATAATATATCACCGTTCATTATTTCGGATTTTGCAGTAAATAAGAGTAAATTAAATTATGAACTACTATTGCAACAAGGACTGATTGGGACTCGTTACAAACTCCAAATAAAATTAATATCGGATTAAATATAAAAATTTTTATGTCATATATTTCTGAGGAAACTTCCCAACCATTTTTGAAAATTGCATATATCCTATTAACTTTACAAAGATTCAACAATTATAATTGTAATATATTAATTCGTCAAGCGGACCACGAAATTAGGGAATTAGTAATAATACTAAAACTATCGTTGTAGCTATTATCCAGTGCAACGTTTGTTTAAAAAATGCATAGGGAAGGTCTGAAGTGTTAAGTTGCAAATTCGATGCCCAGCACCCCTAATAGGATTGGAGTACTGTCGGACTGAAGATCACCAAACACATAAGATTTCTTATTTTTTTATGTTGCTGTTCTTAAATTTAAAGTTGTGTTTATAAAATAAAACGTATTTGGACGGAAACTGAAGTTTTGAGCTGACATAAAATCGAGGTCCAGCACTAGCCCACTAGAATCACTAGTCACTAGTCCTCCTCTAGAATGGAAAGACTGTTAGTAAGAACGAAACATCATCAAAT